ACTGCTGCCCATCTCCCCTCTGTGGTCCCTGCTCTTCTTCTTTATGCTCATCTTGCTGGGGCTGGGCACTCAGGTATGAGGTGTGGGCCAGGCTCGGAGCTTTGGGGAGGGAGGATGGGGTAGAAGTCAGCCCCTCGCTCTGATGGCTGTGCCTTGCAGTTCTGTCTCCTAGAGACACTGGTCACAGCCATTGTGGATGAGGTGGGGAATGAGTGGATCCTGCGGAAAAAGACCTATGTGACCTTGGCCGTGGCTGTAGCTGGCTTCCTGCTGGGCATCCCCCTGACCACCCAGGTGAGAAGCCATGGGAGAAAGGCTGGGCTGCAGTTGCAGGGTCCATGGGAAGGGTGGGGAGCCTGGGCCCTGCACCACTGGCTCAGCTGCCACTGGCCCACAGGCAGGCATGTACTGGCTGCTGCTCATGGACAACTATGCAGCCAGCTTCTCCTTGGTGATCATCTCCTGCATCATGTGTGTGTCCATCATGTACATCTATGGTAAGTGCCCGTGCGGGTCCTAGTCCCTGGCTGGCCCACCTGTCCTGCTGGGCCTGCTGACCCCATTCTCTCCAGGGCACAAGAACTACTTCCAGGACATCCAGATGATGCTGGGGTTCCCACCGCCCCTCTTCTTCCAGATCTGCTGGCGTTTTATCTCTCCAGCCATCATCTTTGTAAGTTCTCTCAAGGCCCTCCTGCCCCCTGCTGCCCCAGAGCCCAGTGTTTTTCTCTTGGGAACAGCAGAGGGCAAGCAGGAACCCATCTGCCTGGCCAGAACGCCACACCCACAAACCCAGCCAGCCTTCCAGCAGGGTGGGAGGAAGGTTCCATAAATCAGATAGGCCTGTGCCACGCAGAGCAACCAACCAGGCACTGGTGACGGGTTAGGAGAAGAATGCTGAGCCCTGAATTTGACTGAAGACATTGCCCAGAGAGGGACAGGGGCTGCCAGCAACTCCAACTCCAGTAAGTCAGCCCACCTTCCCGGCAGTCCTGCTCAGCTTACCTAGGGCCTCAGGAGTCACTAATGCTGGTGTCATTGTCCTCAGTGCTTTTTTCCCAATCCCTCCTAGAGGGGGTGCTCATGGAGCAGGCTGTGCGTGAGAATGAACATGTGCATGTGAATGTAGGAAATAGTGTTCCAGAAGCAGCACCGGGACCTGTAGACTCAAGGTTAGGAAGGTCGCGCAGGCAGCTTCCAAAGGCAGTGAGCTGGCTGGGGAGAGGGAGTCCCCCATTTCCACGAAGGAAACCCCCATCAGAGAGCTGAGTGGTGGGAGGACACCAACCCCACCCCACCTCACCCCTGCAAGGCACTCGCTGCACATTGTTCACTTATTAACTCATGTAACACAACTCTCCAGGCCAGCAGTTTTCCCTAGTTTACAGATAAAGAAACTATGACACAGGGATGCTAAGTAATGCCTTGGGTCACACAGCTAATAAGAAGAACCATAATGTGGAACGAGTGGCCCAATCTGGAGCCTGCCTGCTGTGCAGGTGGGACATGGACGCCATGCTGTAGTAAGGAGGAATGGCCCGTGGGCTAACATCTGTCTCATTTATGTCTTCTGTTCCAAGTGGGAAGCCAGGGTTAGAGGCGGGTTGACTGTGTGAAGGTAACTACACAGAGAACAGGCAGGGCTACCCCGAGTGACACTCAGAGGGGTCACCCGCTGACAAGAGTGGTGTCCCAAGTCAACCCCATGATTCTCTACTCCTTGAGAGAGCTTGGCACGGGATTCTACTGTGGATCACATTGCTGAAGAGAGCTGAGGCCTCCATCACATGGGGATGGGAGGTTCCTAAGCCTGGCACAGGCACTGGCTCTGGCCACTGACCCAGCTCTGAAACAGGAGGAGCCGAAGTCTCCCATCAGGCACAGGAGGCCAGGGAGGCCAGGCATCGAACCAGCATTGAGCTTGGTGTGGGTATGGCAGAGGCTCAGGCCCAGGCCCCGCTTGAGGTCAGTTCAGACTCCCAGGACTCAGATTGGACTCCTGCCCTAGACAGACCTGTGGGCACCTGCCAGGGTACGAGGCAGGAAGGAGCTAGACACTAGGAGGGCCTTTTGGGGCAGCTGTGGCCTGGGCCTGGTGTCTCCTTGAGCCTGGGCAGGGACCTTCATATGCCCAGAGAGCCCAGCAATAGTTAGCTTAAAGCCAGGATCGCAGGCTCCATGGACACATCTGTTTCCAGGCTGGCATTCGCTCTTTGGGGGCTTTATTTCTGAAAAGCTCTTTCTGACAAGCTGTATCATCCTGTGAGCTCAGTCAAGAGATTTGTATACACGTACATCAGGCTCTAGTTTCATTAAGGAAACTTCTTTTGTCATTATTATTTTTGTTTTCTGTTTGTTTGTTGAGACAGGGTCTTGCTATGTTGTTCAGACTGGCCTTAAACTCATATCATCTAGGCTGGTCTCAAACTTGTGGCAGTCCTCCTGCCTCAGCCTCCCAAGTGCTGGGATTACAGGTGTGGGCCACCACATCTGGCTCAAGGAAACTTCTTGTTTGCAGTATCCCAGTAGGACCTCTCAGACAGGATGTGGGTCTTGCACTTTAGAATTTGGTCACAAGGATGGCCAGAAGCTCTAACCTGAGCTCCAAGGTACAGGAGGATGATGCGGAGCCCTGCTGGCAGGCTAAAGCACCCTACTTGCCACCTACCCAAGTCGCTGCTCCTTTTAGTATCTTGTGTTGCTGCAGCCACAGACTTCACTTCCTGTCACACCCATCTCTTTCCAGAGAGGCTCTCTGGTGCATCTGCAGTCCAAAGCTTCCCATTTCTAGACTGAGTGTCACTGCCTCCACAGCCCACAGGGAGGCACGGCTTCCTCCCGCCCCCACCCCTCCATTTCTCAGAATCAGTTCGACTCACCAGGTGGGTCTGTGCCAGGCACTGTGCGGGGCAAAAGACCCAGAATTGATGCCATCCCCAGAGCTCCCAAGTCTATGAGAAACACAAAACAGGAACTGAGGGAAGCAGATGGAAAAGGCCATGGATGGGTCCTTTGGGAGATGGAAGTCTGGACAGGCTTCCTCAAGATGGTGTTGGTTCAGGGTCTGCTGGAGGGAGATATGGAGGGCGATTCCCCAAAGTAAGGGAGAGAGGGAGGGAAGGGATGGTCTGACTGAGCCACTGAGCCAGGGGTAATATGGCCAGCAAGATATGCTGAGGTCATGTTGCCAGAAGGTGGTCTGGGACTGAGGGTTTGGCTTTACCTTAGTAGGCAGTATGGCACCATTTGAGTCTGGGACTGACTTCCAAAGGTGGCAACATCTGGAATATTCTCTGGCCAGTGTAGGACTATGGCAGATACTCCCGTCCCATGGCGCCTGCCCACCATGATTTGGGCCCCTGGTTCCACCTGCTTCTACTGCAGGTGTTGTCAGTTGCCAGCACCCTGCCCCAAATGCCTCTCTTTCTAGCTTGGGAACCTGGAGAGGAGTGGAAGCTGGAGGGAAAAGGGCTGGGGTCTGAGAGGGGCTCTGGGCTGGCCTCATCCCCACTCCCTCCCCACTCCTGCAGTTCATTCTCATCTTCACGGTGATCCAGTACAAGCCGACCACCTACAACCAGTACCAGTACCCAGGCTGGGCCGTGGCCATCGGCTTCCTCATGGCCTTGTCCTCTGTCATCTGCATCCCGCTCTATGCCCTGTTCAAACTCTGCCGCACAGATGGGGACACTCTCCTCCAGGTGAGGGCTGGAAGCAGGTTGGGCATCCAGGCAAAATGAAGGGTGGAGCAGATGGGCCTCAGGGCTCCCTTCTGATTCACAGCACCTACTTCTCTCTCATGCAGCGTTTGAAAAATGCCACAAAGCCAAGCAGAGACTGGGGCCCTGCCCTCCTGGAGCACCGGACTGGGTGCTACGCCCCCACCATAGCCCCTTCCCCTGAAGATGGCTTTGAAGTCCAGCCACTGCACCCAGACAAGGCCCAGATCCCCATGGTGGGCAGTAATGGCTCCAGCTGCCTCCAGGACTCCCGGATATGAGTGCAGCTGCCAGGGGAGTGGCCCTACCCCATTCCATGCTCCTGCCACAGAGACCAGGGAGGCAGTGGACAGGTGTTATTGCCTGCCCTCTGTCACACCCCAGCCAGGATGGCTGCTGTCACCTTGGCCACCACTGCTAGTGCAGTCATTTGTGCTCGTGTCCCCAATGTTTACATGTCCTTTGGATGCCAAGACAGCAGCTGGGGGCGGTGAGGCAGTGGGAGGATTGCTGCAGCGGCCAAAGCACTTCTGAGGGGTCTTGGGCCAGGTCCCAAGAAATCTACCAGGCTTTACATGGCCTCTGATACCCTCGAACTCTGCCCCAAGCTGAGGTTCTGGGTTGACCCACACACACACACACCTGTTCTTTCCTTGGGCCTCCAACCTCATGACCAGTGTTCCTGACCCTGAACAGATCCCAGCCTCCATCTGCCCAGGAAAGTCTGGATCTTCCTGCCTGAGGCAGGGTGAGGGTCTGGGGGCTGACAGTGTTACTTGTCAAGCTGTCCCACCAAGCCCTGTTTATCTGTGTGATTATTTTTGTAAAAATTGTATTATCTGTGGTTGCCAGCTCTCCCCCGGCCTCGGGTCCGATCTGTCTTCCAGGCCTGCTTACACCTCACTTGGCTGCCCCAGGGTCTCTGCCCCTCATTCCAGCCCTGGCTGTCAGGCCCAGCCAGCAGAGGCTGTGACCCAGCAGCCTGCCCAAAGCACTTGTTTCTGGAGGGCAGGGGTGGAGGCTGCTCAGCAGGAGGTTTGAGCCAATAGCTCTGGGGAAGGGGACCTGGCAGGATACCCTGTGCCCTCCCTCCACCAGGCTAAAGGCCCAGTCTTCCCAGATGCGCTCCCCTTATTCATGTGCCAAATGGCCCCAGGCCTTGTGACCCAACCCCTCCCCAGAGCCAGATTGGGATTTGTCTCCCAATCCCTGCAGTCTGTCTGTCCTCTGTGCCCTCTGTGCAGTGACGGCACTGGCCAAGCCACCTCTAATCCTCTGTAGCAATAATGGTGCGCCACCCGCCCTGCCCATCCATGCACCACTAGGATTTTAAAGTCCATAGATTTTAATGAAATTTCTATTCCTGTCTGAGCTGCTGCTGTGCTTTGTTGGGGTCCCCTGGGGGACAAAAGTCAGGGCTGGGATGAGACCTCTGTTGGCCAAGCCTTTGTGGTGACCTTGGAGGAGAAAGGCTGAAGGCTTTGACTGTTCGGCCACTCAGCCCTAGATACCAGGGACAGGCAAGCGGGGCAAGGACCAAACATACAAACAGCCTTCAGGTTCTGATGAAAGCTCCTGCAAGACTAGACCTGAAGCTGGCAGGGCCATGGCAGCTGAGAGGTGGCAGCAGCAGATGGGGCAAGTTCCAGCAGAAGCCTACTTCAGGTTGAGGCCTGGGGCACAGCACTGGACACAGGTGTGGAAGCTGGCTCTTCCCTACGGCTGCACCAAAGCTGCCGCCCCCACCTGTGGGTGGTGGCCCAGCCTCGAGACTGGGGACACTGCTCCAAAGGAGGTGTAGGAAGGTAGCCTTGGGGAAGCCAGGCCCAAGTTCCAGCAGCTCCTCGGAAGCAAGGACTGGGTCTAAGGCCCCGAAAGGAGGCCCCCAAGGGCTGTTGCCTGGACAGGAAGAAGTAATCGTGAGGGGGCCATGGCCTGACCCTTCAGGCCACCCCATCCATTGGCTACCTGTTTTGCTCTACCTCTGTTTGGCAGAGATGCAGGAAGGTGCCAGAGAGGCCTGCAGCTCCTGTTCCATGGCCTTCTTTTGCTCCTTGAGCTCTAAGGGAGGGCACAGTTGAGACGGTGTCCAACCCTTCCAGCATGTGCCCCATGTGGGGTGGGGGCAGGAGCCAGGTGCTCTGTGGCCTGCTTAGGGTCCTCACCGGCCAGGGTGGGCTCTGGGGCTGCCTTGGAGGACTGGTGAGCCTGTGTATGCTCCACTTCCAGGCAGTGCTGCAGCGAGAGATGGGTCAGTGGCCCAGGAAGCAGTCCACGCGGCCCCTCAGCCCAGCCCCCCTGAGAGCACCCCCGAGGGAACACCAGTCCAGCTGAAAACTACGTTTGCCAATGCTGTTGGCCTCGCACCTGGATTCAAGTAAGGGAAGGGGGAAAGGACTTGGTGCAATAGGGCAGGTTAATGTAAAACCGCTGAGCGTGGGCTTCTGGGATTTCACAAACACACTACACAAGCGTGCAACACATGGAAAGGGAACATAGGACTCACAACCTTGACGTGCACATATATACCCAGAGACACAGATCTTTCATGGTCTCAGAGGGAGAAGGCAGGCGGAGGGCTGCACTCACCTGCAGGGTGGAGATCTCCCTCTCCAAGGTGTGACACTCCTCCTCCAGGCGGTCCCTGGGGTATAAGGAAGCAGAAGCACCACAGCCAGAACCAGCACCACAGGCCCCAGTCAGCTGAACCTACCATTCAGTCTCCACACCTCCAGCTTCCCCAGGCTCCCTACAACCCCTCCTTTCTTGGCCGGCACTGCCCTCTGCTGCTTGGCTGCTGCTCCAGCTCAGAGTTCAGGCCTCCTGCCATCTCCTTCTGGGCAAAATATGTCCTCTTGCCCACTCCAGCAGGCACCATCTTCTATACTGTTGCAGGGGCTGGCGACTCCTGCCAAATCACAGCCCTTCCCCTGCTTCCTGTGGCTCCCTCCAGCATCAGGTTAAAAATTCTAGGGCCCTGGGCTGGGATTTAGCTCAGTGATTCCACCGCCTGCTCCGCAAGGGCAAGGTCCCAAGTTCAATCCCCAGTACGAAACCAAAGAAAAAAAATCTAGGCCCCAAGCTGGGCATGATGGCACACGCCCAGAGGCTGAACGTGATTGTAAATTCTAGCCAATCCGGTCAATTTAGCGACACCCTGTCTCAAACTAAAATATAAAAAAAGGCTGGGGATGTATCTCAGTGTAAAGGCCCTCGGTTCAACCCCTAGAATGGTTAAAAAACAAACAAATAAAAACCTAGGACCCTGATACCCCCACCACCACATTTGACTACATCCTGGCAGCAGCCCCCAGCTCTGCAGGAACCCCCTCTCCACACATGGGTCTCCCCTCCCCAGCATGCTGCCTCCCTTTCTCAGTCAGTACCAGCCCCTCAGCATCCAGCCCGGTCTCCCCACTGGCACACACTCAAGTGCCCCTGGGCCTCACCTCAGGTGCCCAGCAACTTGGTCAATGTTGGACACACTCAGCTGGTCCTTGATGACCCTGAGGCCCCTGTGACTGCTGCTGGCAGAGGAAATCAACATCACTCTCCTGGTGTTGCTCACCTCAGGCCTCCAGCACACAGATGCCACTTGAAATTTTGTGTCTTTTTCCACAAAGGCAACAAAATACAATGCAAACAGTGGGAGTTCTGGGTTGGAACTAGGCTCTGCTGCCCTTCACTGAGTGTGACCTTGGACAGATTGCTCTTTCTGAGCTTCAGTTTTTCTCAACTACAAAATGGGGTTGTCACCCAGCTTTATCCAGTGGTATAAAGACTGGAAGACGCTGCTGCCAACCACTTATGGACACGCTCTTGTGCGTTTATGTCATTCAGCCCCCACCTGTCTGCTTCTCTCTCCCCTCAGCTTTCCCTGCCTTTTCAGCACACCCTTTGCTTCTGTTTTCCTTCCGTCCTCTCTTTTCCCGAAAAGCCCTTCTCTCTTTCATCTGCCTGAAAAACTGCTCCTCATACTTCAAGACCCAAATTAAACCATTCTTTCCAGAAAACCTTGCCTTGCTGCCTCCAGGCTGGGCACACGTCTGTCTCCTTGAGGGATTCTGCAGCCTTCATATGCAGATCCCTATCACAAGTGTCCCGGGCCTAGTGTGTTGGCCACACCTGTAATCCCAGCACTCTGAGAGGCTGAGGCAGGAGGATAACTGCGAGTTTGAGGGCCTGGGTTACACAGTGAGTTCAAGACCGGAACTACACAGCAAGATCTTGACTCAAAACACAAGCATTGAGCCAGGAATTTAGCTCAGTGGCACCACACCTGCCTCAGGAGTGTAATCCTGAGTTCAATCCCGCCCTACCAAAAAAAAAAAAAAAAAAAA